TGCATTTACATTCAATTCATTTATTCAATGCCATCATTGTAATAACGTATGTACCATTATATATGGTCATAATTTCCGGTAGCTTGCACGTCTGGTAATTAACTAGGAAAGTCATTCTAGATAGATATTCGATGTTAATTTAGGCTTTAGATTAATGGCATTTCAATCATATGTGATTATGAACAATAAGCTAGAACTAGTTATTAAAAACAACTCTAGCATTATGTATTTTCAGTTCTTATGATGATCATAGATCATTTTTTTCCCTTAAAAAATCTTGTTGAATGGTTAAAGAAATTTAATCAATTATTATATGAATATACTTGTAATAACTAATAAGTAATGATGAAGGACATATATACATAATGGATATTTTTGGGCGGTTGGACAGCACCACCTTCTCCCTTTACTTATACTTGAATGAAGTTTATTAGAGATTATGGAGTATTGTATTAAACTTTATATAATAGAATTAGGGAAATTCTATTTGATAACACTATATTTTTAAGTTTTCTCAGTGGTGAATTGCAAAAAAATTTATTATCTGTGGTAAACTCGAATTTTTGATTACCAAAGAGAATATCTATTTTAATATAAACTCATTAACCATGGTTAATTTCTTTTATTTTTTAATAATTAAATTATATATTTTTTTTTAAAAAAAAACCAACCTCTCTTCTACCACCAACCCGAGACCCCAAACGCTCAAACCACCGCCCAAATCACCACCGCAACCCAAAACCCCAAATGCCCAAAACACCGCCCAGACCACCACCGCAACCCAGATCCCAAACCACCGCCCAAACCACCACCACCCAAACCACCACCGCAACCCAAAACCCCAAACGCCCAAACCACCACTGCAACCCAGAACCCCAAACCACCGCCGCCCACGACATTCCCTCTCTCTCTCCCAGACCACCACCGCAACCTAGAACCCCAAAACCACCGCCCAGACCCCCTTTTTACCAGCGAAAAACGCCTCCTAAATCGAGCAAAATAAACCCTAAAATCGAGCAAAATCAATTCTAAAACCGAGCGAAATCTAACCCAGCAAAATCAAACCCTAAAATCGAGTGAAATCAAACCTTAAAGCTTCGCTTAGGGAGGAGAGATTAAGAATTTGAGATTTAGAGGAGGGGGTTTCGAGGCTGAGGGTGTTCATTTCGGGGAAGGGACTGGAGGTTCAGGGTTTCTATGGTTTTCGGGGGGAAGCGAGGTGGGGAGACCGGCGAACGGCGAACGGCGAGGGAGGTGGCTGGGTGCCGGCGTGGGTTGGGACAGGGGAGTGGGCGCCGGCGCCGACGTGGTGGGATGTTGGTCGGGGAAGGGGGTGATTTTTTTTTCTTTTTTTTGAAAGAAATTAGTTTTAAAATTATTATTTTTAAAATCATTTAAATGTAAAAAAAAAAAAAAAAAAAAAAACCTAACCATAGTTAAATATTTAGTTAAAATTAGTCATTAATGTTATAGACTTATAGTTAGCTTAATATAAAAATAAAAAAAAAAAATAAAAAAAAAAAAAATTCAAGTTTACCAAAAGTAATAAGTTTTTTTTGCAATTTACTTTTGAGAAAACTTAAAAGTATAGTGTTACCAAAGAGATAGATTTCCCTAGAAATTATTGTAACTATATCTATTCAAAAAAAAAAAAAAAAAAATATTGTAACTATATAAAATCTTGTTTGATTAACTAATTTTTTTTTTTTTTTTAATGTAACATATTTTATAATTTTTACGAATTAAATTTTATAAATATTTGATAATGTATAAAACATAATTTTGGGCTTCAACCATTATCATACCTGGCTCTGATAACATGTTAGTGGACCAACTCAACTAAAAACTTAAGCTAATGGTTAAAGCGCAAGATTATATTTTATACTCTATCAATATTAATGATGCGATTAAAGGTATGCGTTGATATGCATAAGTCTAAATGATGACCTTTGGCATTGACAATTTTCTTACCATCAGAAGTCCATCGATTGCAATTGCACCCATTCACCAAAACACCCACGGAAAGAAATTAGATTAGCCGCCTCCAAACTCTATAAATACCCCTCATCATCTCTACATTTCCTCACATCAAAACTACCAAACAATAACAATTATTACCAAAATATACTATTTCATCATTATGAGTCTTATATCTTCTTCGCTTGTTACATTTCTACTATCCATCATTACCATCACCCATGCCCACCATCACCGTAGTCAACAACTGTGACTACACCGTGTGGGCTGCCGTCGATCCAGGAGGCAGTAGGCAACTCAATAAAGGAAACACATGGAACCTAAACCCAGCACCCGGGACCAGAATGGCACGTATTTGGGGCCGAACTGGGTGCAACTTCGATGGCAATGACAACGGCAACTGTCAAACCGGAGGCTGTGGGAAACTAGTGTGTAACCCAGGCAATTGGGGCACAATCCCAAAGACTCTATTCGAGTATACTCTAGCACAACCCAATAATCCAACCGACACCATCGATATCTCCCTTATCGAAGGCTTCAATATCCCTATCTCCTTCAGTCCCACTTCCAACTCCGGTTCACTTGGTGGGAAGTGTCGTACAATTAGGTGCACCGCTGACATTAACGGGCAGTGCCCTCAGAACTGGAGGGTTCCCGGCGGGTGTAAAAGTCCTTGCACGTCGCAAGGTATCGGAACATGTGGTGCTAATGGTGACTCTAGGTTATACAAGCAAAGGTGCCCTGATGCTTATAGTTTTCCTAAGGATGATCAAAGCAGCACTTTCTCTTGTCCTTCTGGAACTAATTACAGGCTCACTTTCTGCCCTTGAACGTTGATGAACAACTAACAAAGGGTGTTATGTTATTACTTATACATGTGATGATAATTCATAATATACATGTTAAATTAAAGCTATAGATTGATGGAAATTCAACTATGTGCAATAAGCTAGAGCTAGTTGGTCTTATATGTTCAGCTCTAGCATTCTGTATTTTCAGCTGAAAATAATGTTCATAATAATAATATGTTATGTTGTGTTTATTTATCACTCTTTGTCTATTGTGTTTTAAGCTTTTAACTGACTAGTAGTGCCAAAGGATCTTTAAAACTTTGAAACAAATTTTTTTTTTCTTTTCTTTTTTAAGCTCAAAGACCCAATTGACCAAACTAGACTAATACTCCATATCTCTAGCCCAAAATATAGACCATGCCAATTTAGAACAGTCCTAGGCCCAATAAGCATTTTTAAGCCCATAGATAACTTTTGTTTTAATGGAGCAGTAAATTTCCCAATGTATTTTATTTTTGTCTTTAATAGCCAAACTTAATTTTAATTCTCAATGATAATCCATATTTTTTTTAATTGTTTTTGGTTATACTTGAGAATATGGATGAAGCAGGATTATCATTGAAATGTAAAATTTAGTTTGACTACCAAAGTTTTATGTTCAAAACTTAGGCTTATCATTGAGAATTTCTCAAAAATATAATAGAATGGTTCATTTGTAACAAACTATTTTTCTTATAATATGTGAAGTTTGAAGTATCAAATGGTGATAAAATATTATTCATGTTAACATTCAACTAATAGATAAACAGCTTTGTTCAACTGATAAGAATTTGTACATTGAAGCGACTTTGTAATTAACTTTGTAATAATCCAAATAAAATGGAAATATCTTCAGTTAATACGTATAGTTGTGAATCTATAATAATATATAAAGTGAAAGGGGGGTTTTGGGTGATAAATTTTACTTTTCCAAAATACCCCTCTCATCTTTTTTTTTTTTTTTTTTTTTTTTTTTAAAAAACTACCACTTTTTTTTAAAAAATAAAATAAAATTAACTACCATCCTTTTAAAAAAAAAAATAAAAGAAAAATAACTACCATCCTTTTTTTAATTTTTTTTTAGGGAAGTCATATCCTACTATTAGCCTACATGACTCCAATAATTTTTAACCCATTAATTTTTTTTTTATTAGAATAAGATAGATAATATTTAATTTCAAGACAAAAATAAAATCGAGTCTTATAAATTTCTTATATTGCACACACGCAATGCAATGTGCATGTGTCTCCTAGCTTGTTAATATAAGACTTGAAGCGCCTAAGGGTATGGATTGAAATTTGAGTCTGTTTGTGATCCAAGCATTCGTGTTTCTTTCTTCTCACCAAAACTTTTCAATTTCTTGAAATCCAAGCATTCATGCTTTTTTCTTCTCACTAAGATTTTCTTTGAGCTTAACCTTCTCACTAATAAATAGATATTAGAACTAATAAAGTACCTTCTATCCAATTATAGAACCTTTGCTAAAGTTCAAAGTCCATTTTGTTTGAATAAAGTCTCATTCCAAATTGCAAAGTAAGTGAAAGCCATGAAATGATAATATATAGTTCTACACTTCTACTCATATTTCTCTAGCTTTATACAGTAGAACTTATGTGTGACATTACAAAACTTATATTTTGGCCACGAGTGCACAAACTTGCATAAGGATTGCACAAATTGGCATCATCAAATCTTATTTATGGTCCCTTCTAGTGCTAATAAGTAGTTTGGCTTTTTAGTTTTTGCTTGTTTGTTTGTTTCTGTTTTTTCTTTGTTACTAGTTGTTTTAATTTGTTTGCTTTGGGGCTTTGCCCTTCTCTTTCACCCAAAAAAAAATGTAACGATATTGTGCAAAGCTAAGGAGAGGTGTGTCTAAAGTGAGATCGTTATCAAATACGACACATTTCCTAATAAAATAGAGTCCTTGAGTTTGTTGAGTGGTATTAGTATTAAAATAATTTTTGTAGAATCAAAATTGTCATATTTTTAAAGACATTCAATTTGTTGGATTTAAAAAATAGATATCTGTAAAGTCAAAACACAACATTGCACTCTTAAACACACTACAATAATAATAATAAAAAATATAAATGTTTTATTATATTAGGATAACATCCCATTTATTTATAAGGGAGTATTATTGTAGTACTCCAGAGTACATTTTTAGATAGATTTAAAGAGTATTCTATAAATCAAGGGCAAAATGTAACCCTGTAATTGGTACCAGAAGGGCAAGTATAAAGGCTAGTAGCATCATCCTTAGGATAACTATAAGCATCTAGACACCTACTCTTGAAATAGCGAGAGTAATTTGTTGGAGGGCAGTTATCCCTATAATTATTTATACAACAATATTTATCATCTCTGAGCGCCGTGCACGGGTTGTTACACCCTCCTGAGGACTTAAGCTCGGCAGGGCACGGGCCGATAAGATCAGCCGTGCAAGAGGGTCCTCTGCTACACCCGCTTACAGGCAAGAAACTCATTGGCACATTGAACCCATCAACCAAAGAGATGTCAAAGAAATCCAAGTTGTTATATTGTCTTAGGGCATACTCAGCTAAAGAGTTAGGGGGTGTCCCATAATTTGTGCATTGGAGTACCCCACCACAGTCTCCTGTGATGCACCTAAGCCCATTTGACCCATTGGGTGTGCACCCAGTACGGGGCCAAATGCGACCACGATCTTGTCCAGGGTTGGCTGTGATAGTCCATGTTTCACCGGTATTCAAACGTCGGCCACCACCGGGTACTGCGGCTGCCCAAATAGTGTAGGGCAGTTGTTTCTTATTGTAAAAGTGGCTGCATTGGTGGGAGTAGAGATTAGGGAAGCAAAAACTATGAAGAGGCAGAAAATAAAGACAGATTTAAAGGAGATCATGTTGGAAAAATTAATTTAAAAGAAAAATATTTGGAATTTGTATTTGTTGATTGTTTGTGTACTTAGCTGAGCTTGTTTGAGTTTATATAGGAAAGTAAGGGAAGAAAAGTCAAAAATGATGATAATATCCAAGGAAAATGATGGAGTCCTACGTAGAAAATAGAAATACCAGGACATTTTCTTTCACCAAACTTACCAGTTTAAGCTAATTTCATGTGTAATAACTATTTCAGTGCTCCGCACTAAACAATAATTCATGTACATTATTGAACTATAAATGTCACTGCATATACAAAATAAAAGAACGAGTATAGCTGTTAGAACGAAATTAAAATATAACGTCCAACATTTTAATAGTATAATTATATAAACAAAGTGAAGGCTAAATTAAAGGTTTTAAGACTTTTAACAACATACGGAGTATAAATTATAATACTCTCTCCGTTTCATAATCTTAGTCCTATAATATATAGAATCAATCATATAAAATAAGAAAAGAATAATATTTGAAATCTAACATTAAAGTACAAAATAATTCATGATTAGTTTGTCTTATTTAAGCTTTGTGATTTATTTTTGGGAAAGCATAAGTCATAATTGCATAATTTAAGGTAGAGATTTCCTTACTTAAAGTCATGTCATCAATCCACAACCAATTAATTCCAAAAAAAATTTAGTTAAAAAAGAAACATATTCAATATAAGTAGATCTTTTTTAAACGCCTAAAATAATATATGAGATTAACATTATGACACTTTGAAGCTAATTGTCGGCATATTGATCGACTTGATGCACCCACCAGACCACCAGTATAACAGTATTGTAAGGGTCTAAGCTAAGGACTCAAGCGATCGTCACAATTTGTACAAGTACTACGTATAGTCGTATACCTGTATACGTACCAACGGTTGCATTCATATTCATTTAATGCATCATCATTTTGTTAAGTCATAATTTTCGGTAGCTTGCACTTAACTAGGGTGTTATAGTCTTATAGAGTCATTATGTCATATGTAGTCCTTAGGGATACGAATAAACATTAAATATTATTTTTATTTGATTTTAGTTTAAGAATGTCTGACAAAATCATATGCAAATCAATGTAATTAATGAACATATTTCACTAATAGTTTTTTCTGTTAGCTTCTTATTCATAGTCCTAAGGGATATATATAGCATTTTCTCTAGATAAATACTCCATGTTAATTATATTTAAGTTATAAATCAGATATGCCATCATCAGTTTGGGTTTATTTATTTATTTATTTTATAATAGAAAGAATGAAGACATAAATAAAATAAAATTAAGTGAATGCATTAAAAATTAAAAGAAATCATTTTTTAATGATAAACTAGGGCTTGTTTATTTAATCAAGTTCGATCTTAAACTCAAAATGAAAACAAGCATCTTCGTGAACAAAGTTCGAACAAGCCAAATTCTTAACGATTAGCTCGTTTCACACTTGAAATAGGTCGAACACTAATAAATATTATCAAGCTTAGGTCGAACAGGCTAAATTTCAGCTCAATTCGAATCATTTACATACAACCCTATAACACATTATATTTAAGGAGGTTTACGGTAAATGAAATCTAGGACGCATTCTCCCTTATATTATTATTTACTAAAGGTGGGTAGCTTTAACAAATTATTGTACATGTTTCGAAATGTTAGGAATCCTTGACATTTTTAAAGAATAAAATATTGCATTAATACTTCAAAGTTGCTTTGCATATTAAACATGCTTATTGCATGCATTACATCATTGCTTGTTCGAACTTTTTTCATTAAAAATTATATTTGGAGGATCTTTTATTTAAATTTAAATTAAAAAATAAAATTAAAAAAAATAAAAAAAAAACCTACAAATTTGTTATTTTTATTTTTGTTTAAAAGTTAGGATCATGAGCAAAGTATTGCATTAAAAAAAGTTTGGTTATGATAATTGTTGCACTTAAAATAACCGGATGTATTATTACCTAAAACTTTATGTGACGATTAAATTGAAATAGAGAGAGTATATATGTTTTTTTTTCTACATGCTATATTTGTTTCAAAAATATTACTCCGTATAAAGTAACATTTAGTTTATTTCATGTTCCTAATCACACTTTTTTTTTTTTTACAAGAATATCCTCATTTGGCCCATTACAACTTATCGAGGCTTACTACTCGTATTAGGTTTCATATCCAATTTCAATAATATTCAACCTCCTCTAATTATAAGTACCATAGAGTTTTTTATTTTTTTGAGGGAAAATACCATAGAGTAATATTTTTTAATTTATACGTACTCAATCAGTATTTTTATGCATACTCAATCAATATTACTGAATATCTCCTAAACTAATAATCCTAGATTCCTAGTTCCATCTCTAACATCCGTAATTAAGTCAATTTATTTGTAACATCCAAACAATAAATTCCTTTCTAAAATCGCTAAACAAAAAGCTACTAGCAGCAAAATCCAAAATTTTCCAACCATGTAACATGCACAAAGTAGCCGTTACCACTTCAAATTAAAACCATAATCCAAAACACCAAATCTTATCAGTCTTATAGACATTAAATATTCTCAATTAAAAGGGCAAGTAAGTTAAAAAAAAAGCTCATTTCTTACTATACTTCAGTAGTGAAGTGAGTTTAAAACAAATAATCCAAAACATACACATCAGACATCACCCACTTTCAATTTAACGGCTACATTTCTACATTCGCCCGCCCTTCCCCCAAAATTTGAATTTCTTTCTTTCTTTGAAAACTGTGCCCTGTTTTCTTTTCTCTCTCATCCAAATTCCTCAAATTTCAAATCTTTTTCTTCTCTACCTCTCTCATTTTGCTCCTCCCACCTACTTTTAATTAAGCCTTTATCTTTTCTTTCTCTTTGATCCTTCAGATTTTTAGTCTAATCTCATCAAAATTATTTGCATAGATTAAAGATGGGATGTTGTTTGAGCAAGAATGATCCATGTTCAAATTCACATTCACAAATCGAACAAACTGATACAAAAAAGAATCTTCCGGTTTCGGTTCCGGTTCCGGTTCCGGTTAAATTAGAGCACCCTAAGAAGCAATTAGCCGGTTTCGAGGCGGCAACCCCGAAACCGGAATGTAGCACAAAAGAAATAGAAAGTGAAGCAAAGGAGATTTTAACAAAGAAGAAGAAGGAGGTTTTTGTAATTCAACACTGAAAAAGTAATGAAAAGAGACCGGAATCAGATGGGTCGGTATCGAATTCAAGCAACCCGAGTAGAGGATCCGGGTCCGAAGAGATTGGTAGGAATATATTAGCAGCTGCTGCAAATGGGCAAGCAGTGAGAACTTCAAGCTGTACAAAGGAAGAAGTTGATGCCATTTTGATTCAGTGTGGTAGGCTTAGTAGGAGTTCATCTGGTAAGGGAAATGGAAATGGGAATGGGAATGGGCATGGAAGGAGGTATTCGGGTTCGAAACGGAGTTTCGATTTCGATAGAGAGAATGATATTGTTGAGGATTCCAAGAGAATAGGAAATGGGAATGGAAACGAGGATGAACTGAATGATGATGATGAACGATTGAGGAGGCGACAATCCCGGGGTTCGAATCGAAGGAGGACTACTCCGAGTAGGAGTAGGGAGAGAGACCAGCAGCAGCAGCAAAGGTCAGGGAGTAAAGAGAGATCACAGAGTAATGGGAGGAGGGTTAGTAGGTCTCCGGGAAGACGATCCGAAAGTCCCATAACTCAAACCCACAATGGTAATAATGGGAATGTTAGGCCTGGGAAATTAGTGTCTGTTCCTGCAACTGTGAGTTCACTGTCTGTTGAAAAGGGTAGTATTGGAAATGGAACTGATGGGAATGTAAAGAGGGTTTTGGTGAAGAGGAATGTGGGTTCGCCGCGGTCTCAGTCCCCTGCTAGAGCTATTTCTCCTGCAAGGGCGAGTTCACCTGTAAGGGGTGGTAATCAAGGGAATGGTGGAGGTCAGCAGCAGCCGGTGTCGGCCCCGTTGAGCCGGAATGGGTCTAGGAAAGCCGAGCATTCGCCGTTTAGGAGAACGCCTTTGAATGATATTGATATTAATTCACTTCCCTTTCATCCGCTTTCTAATAAGAGGCCTGTTAGTAAAGGGAAGGAAATTGAGGAGGATGTTGTGGTTGTTAAGCAGCCTGTTAATTCTGGATTTCAGGTAACTTTTTTGATCTGTTAGCTTCTTTATTGTTCTTAATGTTGTTGATTTCTTATTTTTTGGGAGGTTGTTAGTAAATTGGACATGCTATTCTAGCTAATTTACATGATTAGTTTGCTGCATCTTAACTCAGAAATCAGAATAGGATAAGGATATGGAAATAAGACATGTTTTTTATTTGCTATTTTCTCTTAAATTCAGTGTTTATTTGTTTGTAGTCTTTGCACCTTGCATACCATAACTCTTGAACAAGAATGGCGTTTTTAAATTCGTGTAAAATGATAATCTATATGTAGTGTAGGGGGTGTTTTTCTAAACACAATTGATAGGCATAGGGTAAAAATCAAGCCTTGGAATTGCAATGAGTCAGTGCAGTACTGAGTGACTTGTTTTCGAGTGACCGAGATTGCAAATTAATATTTCTGCTTTTAATTGCATCATGTGTATAAGCTGAGTGTTGCTCCTGTTGTGAATGGTGATGCAGCAGAACAAGTATGCAGAGACAAACAATGTTAAAGCATCTATTCAGGGGACTCATAGAAGAAGCAGAAGCAGAGGGGCTGAAGGATATGAGGTTACAAAAACTAATTACTGCAGAGTGAATGAGCTTCAGACGCCGAATGTTGAGCAAATGATTGAGGATAAGAGGGGGCAATTAGATACAGTTGAGTATGATGCCATGGTGACTCCGGTTGTTGTCTCGGGTGCTGAGACACTGAAGTTGCCACAAACATTAATGAAGCTGCAAGGCGGTCACGAGACCTGGACATCAGTGTTGAGGCTCTTTTAGCCCCTACCCTGGCTACTGACTATAACTCTCTATTGCTTCGAGACATTCAGAATTTCCACCAGAAGAAAAGCTCAAACATGAATGCTAATGCTAATGCAAATGCAAATTTCAGTAGCAGTAATAATGCTGGA